GGTTATGATGATTATAATATCACCTGACCTGCACTCCATCATCTTTCCAGCCCCCTATTCCCCCTGGCTTCCCTCACATACACCTGGTATCCCAAGGTCAAGAATTGCTGAGGGTGTCAGATATGTGGCTACATGTTCTGCACACTAAGTTCTGCTAGCTTGAATGGACTGAGAATTTCTTAAGTCAAATGTGTCTCTCCTTGTACACATTAAAACATGTTCATTATGTTGAAATATGACCATTGTGCACACTGTCTCTTCTGTCTCCTTTTTTAACCCGACTGTCTCAAGATGATCTTTTCTTCTTACATTAATTCTATTTTTACGCAATTCTTAACAACGCAATCTGAATTGCTGAATTGTTCTGTGGCATTAAGTGACTGAAATGCTTGTTTGGATGTAATATTTAAATTAATATCTCAAAATGAATGTTACTGATGTTATTATGTCCATGAAGCACCATAGCACCATTAAAGATTGGATTTAGTAATCCAAGTAAGACCTTTTTATTTATTCAATGTGATCAATTTATTTCAGAAAACGCAGTGCAATATGTGGAAAAATATTTGTATTCTTTTTTCCATTTTTATTTTCATCTGTAAAGCAGAAATTGCATTTTTACTACGCAAAATTGGTTTGTTGTGTTGGATCAGATGATACTATAGTTGTGGGATGCAGAGGTAAAAAACAAAACAAAAAAACCATAATGAGCTGTGGGACACTGCGCAAGCAACCTTCTTTAATGACCATATTTGTACAGACTAAATATGAAAATAGAATAACATGAAATTGCACTAATTTGGGTTTAAAATAAGTAACTCCAGTATCTTTTGTCAGAGATTCACTGTGTTAGATCCACAGTACTGTTGTTGTACCATGTGTCACCTATCAACAAGTGTGCATTGCCTAAGTTAATCAGATGGTTGAGCTAGCAGGGGTAAATCACCTGTTTCACGTTTTACATTCTGTGATTTACAGTTCAGGTGTAAATATGTGTTTATTTTAAATTTGGCAAACACACACTACATGTTTTATTCTCAGTTTTAATAACAATAGTAATCTAACCTATAGCATTTTCATGAAAGAAACAGCTGTGTGTTTGGAATAAACATTATAATTACTGAGAGCAGCTCCGCAAGAAAAGAAAAGTGTCACATATAGAAGCTCAAATATCACTAGAACCTTTTTGTATTTACTGTACATAAAGGTATATATTTTGAATGGCAATAGAATGACTGAACACACACACACACACACACACAGGAATGGCATCCCCATGGGGTAGATGTATTTCTACAATAATTTTACTATAATACGTGACCAGATTCCGAGTTTGTCTGCTTTGCAAAGTAACTTGCCGCAGTCAACAATGCACTCAAAGTCAAGCATCTTTGACCAAAGGTTGATTTGGATTTGGACAAAAAAATATTTTTACAGTTACAATTGTTGCCATAATAAACAGTAGCCCTAGGTTTTGAAATTCTAGTTTCTTAGTCCACTAAACATGTAGAATGAAAGGACAAATGCTTTAAAAATGCTCACAAAATTAAAGCAGATTCAATTAATATTGATGACCCGAAAAGGCAGTTAAATTAGTGTTTAATTGATTTAAAATACTGGCGTTAATAAAGACTTATATTTTTTCCAAAAGTATGGATGAACTTTACCAGTTGAAACTGTGGCTCTAAACAATAATAGATTGAATTATGTTATTAGGTTTCTTGATAGCATTATAAACCATTCCGAAATACTAATATCCTCAGTTTGTGACCAGAAAGAATGACCAGCAGAATACATTTGGGTGGGAATAGTGAAAGAGCATTACGGCTGACACTGTTGCAGACTGGCTGCTGGAGAAAGCCCAGCAATCAAGATTCTCATTAATTATTATCACCATTCATCTGTCTTTCAGGTTCATTCATTTACGGCAGGAGGTTCTGCAGTCTGCTTTCAATGCCTGACTGAATTGTCTTTCTCTTTGTTTTGTTTTTCCCTGCTCTGTAATGTCACATGGAATTGTTAGTGTTTGTTGTTTTCATCTTACACATATGGACAAAACAGACATATTTCACTTTTCCATTCCATTATCCTATAGCAGCATTGCAGCATTACAGCCAAAAGGGAATTTGAAAGTAAATATAAATATATATATATATATATACCAAAATCTCTCCCATATTGCTCTGCCATTGCATTGCGTTTATTCTTTTGCATATCTCTGCCTGCTAGTTACCAGCCTGTTTTACAGAATTGATTTCTTACAAGATTGATGTGGTCAATTTGAGACTTATCAAATAAAAACAGTTTTACTTTTTGTTATTCTGTTTATTGTTGTCTTACAATAAATGTACCTTCTTTAAATTTCTCAATGTGTCTTTTTTTTTGTTATTTTCTCCCAGTCTCTGTACATGCCAGGGTGTGCGTGCACATGCATGTATGAAGAATAGCCACTAGATGGTGCCACTAAGCTGAGATACAACTTGTTATGCAAATCAGTTGATAAAGAAATCCAGTTTTGAAGGCACAGGCATTACATTTTTGCATATTTTCTAATCAAAATTAATACTAAACATTCGTTTATTCGGTGGGTAGTGTAAAAGCTGGCTATTTTTTGTTTTCCTATTTGTAGAAGTCTCAGAAACAGATGAAAAATCATTTTCATCATTAAGAATATCAACAGAGAAAATGCAGACATAAACCTAACCAATCCCTCAGTGTCCACTTGCATTTAATTTTCTTCTCAGTCTTGAATGTGCACAATTGTGAGTGTGTGTGTGCACTGAAGACCTGAAGGTCATGCTATGATGAATTATAAATAGACCATTACAAATGTGTTCCATGCTGTAATAAAAAAAAACAGTTGTGATAAAGTCTCTCCTTTAGATGTTTTATTTAAAATATTATTTTTTCTCCCTTTGGGCTGCCTCATTGTACAGTCACTTCATTGGCATGTTTGTGATGATTTAAACATAGGCAACGGAAACTTGTGAAAATGGACACTTTTCAGACATTTAAGTGGGGATTGCATGAATGTGGAAAAACCTAAGCAAAATGGAAAGTCTGTGAAAACATTCTACACAGAGACTTCTTTTATAAAACAAAGTGTGGTAAAGTCCATTTGCTACATTTCATTTAGCAATGGGTTTGTGAAAATAGACAAAACAAGCCGCAGCACAAAACTCTCTTTTATTTTTTACTTTTATTTACACAAACGTGTAAAAAGATGTTGCAGCACAAAGTCTGGTTTTGGATATGGCTTTTTTTATGGTGAACTGTGGCATACCGATAAATAATTTTATACAGGGGAAACAGGACAGTTTATCTTCTTGATTACCATGATGGTCTGTGCTGAGCGATTTATTTTTGGCACCACCTTCTTGAACTCAACTTCTAAATTAAAAATATAGAATTTAAATAGAAAAGGTAAATGCAATTCATTTCTGGCATCCAGGAAATGTGTACTATAATTGTCTTTGAAAACTTATTGAGCAGCAGATGAGCGCACAGAGAGGCATCACTGCCAATCCTCCCTCAGGGATTGGGAGAACAGAGCCCACAAGAGGAGGGAGCAAACCAAAAGACATTCAGCACAGTGGAAAGAAGTGAAGCCAAAGGAGCAGGAGCAACAGCAGCAGAACGCAGCATTGTTAGATCGAAGGGCAGAGAGGGAGTCGGCTAGTTTGGGGTGAGTTTTCTAAAGTGGGAACTGTATCCGCTTCTTATAATGGTGGTGATGCAGAGTTTTCTGCCTGAGCCATCTCACAGGCAGTGCTTTATTTAATCAGCAAGAAGTGACAAACTGAAACGCTCAGAGTATACTTTTACAGTAAACTAAGAGATATACACTACATGGCCAAAGTAGACCTATGAACAAAGTATGTGGACAGTTCAAGGTTACACCCCTTGACTATTGAACATCTCATTCCAAAACTGTGAGCATTAATAAGTTACAGTAACAGCCTCAACTCTCCTGGTAAGACATTCCATCGGATTTTGGAAGCTGGCTGCAGAGATTTTTCGCCATTCAGCCATAACAGAATCAGTGGTGTTGCGCACTGATTTTGGGCAATGAAGACTGGCTTGCAGTGGATAAGACACATGCCTCTGGAAGACACTTAACCCCTAGTTGCTCCAGAGCCGTGTGACCTCTGACATACTTAGCAATTGTAAGTAGCTTTGGATAAAAGTTTCAGCCAAATGAATAAATGTACTGTAAGGATCCAATTCATACCAAAGGTGCTGGATGGGGTTGAGGTCAATCGCTCTGTGCTAGCCAGACAAGTCCTCCCAGGGCAAACTGGAAACACTGGTGAATCAGTGTTGGTTTTGTGGAAGTAGGCCTATGACAAGTACTGTGTAGCTTGGCAGGTGTCATTAAGCTACATGGAAGAAGCAGTTCAAGGCAAACACTGGAATTACACTGGTAAACTGCACATATACAGTGTAAATATATATTCTGAGATAATCTGCGGGGTGTTTTCTTGTTCCGCCACACTATTTTACATTTGGATGGAAACACATGCCAACAACTAGGTTCTGCAAAACACAGAAGGAAAACAATTTTGTGCAATGCAAGACAAGGTTTCCTGCCTATGACACAGTCTCTCCTATAACGGGTGGATAATATTACACAAGTAAATTCAAATTCCTGTTTTTGTTCTGATTTTTTATTCATACCACAAACATTTGTTAAAACCTCCCCATTCATAAAATGTGTTGCAACTCAGTTTACGGGAAATTGTCTCAGTAATGTATCAGGATTAAGCAACTATCTTTTCCAGGATGTGTTTCAAAGTCACACCCTCATGTCTGTCTGTCACTGTAAGAAGCTGCATACAGTACATGGGTGTGTAAAAACTAATATTGATTGTAAAAGCTAAACTGAACAAATGGCTAAATGTCAAAGATGCAACAGGATGATGTCCAGTCAGCACGTAGCGTGGACATACATTAAATTAGAGGGGTGCTATGACTGGCAAAGAGGGGAGACACACACAAACTTGGTAATAATGATTGGATATTTATTGAAGCAAATTACAGCAATAAATGAGAACATGTTGCATTTTCTACGACAATGTCTAAAGGATACAGACAATGTTGGACAAAAATTATTTAAGGGAATGGTCTACAACTTTGACAAAACATTGTCTGTGCTGTACCTACTATTCTTATAAGAGCTGCTGTTAGTTGACTGCCTCTGCAACATAGGTGACTGTATAGCAATGGTGATGGTTTTTTGGTGGTCAGCAAGTTACAGTAAGTTCCCTATGCATGCTTTGTGGTAGATGAGCTGTAATAAGCCAAAGAGCTGGTGGGGTCATTTAATTATCCAAAAGAAAAAAACACAGACGGACAACAAACCACATCTCTCTTAAGATAACATGTGATCAATTACTGTGCATGTGTCTGCCTTCTAACCTACTCTTGCAAAGAAGAGATTTATGTGAAATTTTCCCCCTCACTCAAACCCTCCACCATTCCCACAGAAAATGTCCTCCCAACATTTTGACAGACGTGTTTTATATCAGCAGCAGTTATCAACATGTCCCTCACCACTGGTGTCTTCTCATCTGGTTTTGTAAAAATAAATAATAATAAGTCCAAACTAAATCCTATTGTCCTCAAACAACTACAGGCTTTTTCAAAACCACTTACATTCCTGAAAATTAATTATACTCCGCATCAGTATTTGTGGAGAAATAAAAATGTTTAAATTTTTTTTTGTGTTTTGAGCATTGTCATGCATGGTGATCACTCAAACAAAATTACATTATGCGCCCAAATGCAACCTGAGAGGGTTTTCCTTGTCGCTGGTCTGTGGCTTGGTTTCTGTCTGTCTTAAAAATGCTGGAAATATGCTTTAAACATAATTTCCATATAAAAAAAACTTTTGTCATCATTCGAATGCCACTGTGGAAATATTAATGACCACTTCAATTTGATATTCAGGTTCTGTTACATTTTCAACCTCTTCTGTCATTAGTTACATCATTTATTTGAAGTGCCTTGGTCAAACTACATTTTCAAATATGTCACAGTGTTTGGTCCTATCCTAAGTAGGCCTACAATACGTGTCACACAAAGTGTCTCTAGAAAGAAGACACAAAGAATGGTATGTTGAATGTATCTTTGTTTGATGTATTAGACAACCTAGAAATACTTGACTACATTCCTGTCAGCTCATGGCAAACCTCACCCAACCAGAACTGTACTGTGGCCACAACAATTACCATTTGTAGAACTTTATGCACTTGCTCTAATGTATCCTCAAAATTACAGAACGATACAAAAAAAAATAAAATAAAAAAGGACAGCAACGAGCATAACAGAGGGAAAGTTTGCAACAGACAATCATAGTGAAAGAAATGTAACAATTACCACCTTTTGTGTTCTGTGTGTTGGTACACTCCACACATAGTTTGTCAGTGAATCACATCACACCAGGAAACTGAGAGGAATCCCGCTGTGTGAACGCCACCTGTGCGTTTTATTGCTGTTGCCATGGTAACCCTGATCACATTCCAGGTCCCACCATGCGATGTTTCTCGGCACCACTGTCATGATCTGATGGATGGCTTTAATTACTGCGGGCTCAAACGCTGTAACACACACACACACACACACACACACACACACACTAATACTTTTATTTACGTGCCAGCAGAACACCAATATGTGATGACACAAACTCTGTTCAATATACAAATATTTTGTTTCAATGCAATCTAACCTTAATTTAAAGACAGATGTAGCAGCATGTTTACCAAAGACAGCAACAGTCATTTAGCTGAGACAAATGGCATTACTTTGCAAGTAAGTCTGACATTTCTTAGGCATTACTGCATGCATGCTCCAAACTGAAGTTAAAACACAGCCTGCTTTCAAAACATTTTCTTTCTGCTCTCATGCACAATGACAGCAGCTGTGCATTGCTGTGCAATACGACTTTTCCACTTGACTGTCAACGGCTGTTGGCATTTGCACAGCAACCATTGAATCCATGTGTGGGATTTCAAAATTGACAGATTAGAGGGGTAGGCAGTAATTAGCCACTAATCTAGCATTATCTGTAAAAATGGAAATGCCATAATCCTAAATATATTAGAAACAAAGTGGGAGGAAGTCTAGTTTTCCCCTGCATGTTTATGTAGCAGTAAATCCACCATGAGCCTCTGTGTCTCAGCTGCAGGATGTCCGTCCCGCTCCCTCACTCCGGTTCAGGCTGAAATTTAATATTTCGGGTGGATAATATTTGAGTGTAGAAGTCAAAATACAGTCCTATTGTGGTAATGGCAAAGGATGTGAACGATGTGAATAACATATACTGTTTTTAATCAACCTGCTATGTATTTCCCAGTGTGAAGATGTTGAATTTTTTTCAATCCCACCAAAAGCCTTTTGCCCTCTATAATTGCTTGTCATCTATTTTTGTCTACCTCTTTGCTGGCGGAAGGTGGGATAAGGCAGTGACAGTCAATAAGCTGTATAACGTACAGTATGCCACACGGGTGAGAGCTTACGGTGGGATCCAGCTCCAGTGATCCACTTGCAGTTTAGAAAACAACAGAAAAATAGTTTGTAGGATGACAGGAAAACATCAGATCTCACAGCATAGTCCTCTGATAATTACACTTCTTATGTGCGTTTTGGCAAGTGGCTTGTGTATTTTATTGACCAAGCTACTAAAAGAACATTATTAAAAGTTTTCCTAAATAGCCTAATTAAAGTAATCAGTCATCGGCTGTTCAAATTCCAGTTGTGATATAGTTGGGTCAACATGGTCCACATATAGAAAGGTAGACAATGTGGACCATATCCTGAGTAAAAGCAAAACAGCCTCTGCCATAAAGACTGTTTACCGTTTTTTTATTGCTGACATTTATTGCTTCTGCTTACTTTTCAGAGTTGTTATCTACTGCAGGCAAGTTCAGTATGTGCATAGGTGTAGCCCTAGACTGGAAGACAAAATTGTTGTAATTGCTCTAAAGGTGACTGAATTACTGCAGTAAGTGCATCTAAATGCTACCGCACTAGCAAGGGCATTCATCTTACCACCTGGACAACCTGAAAGGAGGATAAAGGTGATGGGTGTCCCCGAATGTGGTTTGTTTTTCAGAAGGTGGAAAAGAACCCTGCAGGAAATAGACTCAAAACAACCCCCCCAAAGGTATTCCAATGCCAGAACTGTTGCAGAAAGCACAGTGAAAAGCAGCAGGCATTTTTATTCATTACACTTTTAAAAATATAATAGTTCGGGAAAGACAACTGTACCTTTTTGAAATAACAAATACTGTTAATTTGACTTCCTAATCATGGCCTGAAATTCCTGAGCATTTACTCAATACCTACTAAACCACAGTGAGGTGGTGGGCAGTGAGAATGAATGAATGAATGAATGAATGACTGAGGGCAGGTTTAAAGAGGTGAGCTTGTGTGACCAGAGGAGTCTACCTCAGACCAACCCCAAAACCCTGAGCAGGGGTCAGAGGATTACTAATAACAATCACCCCTGGAATTGCGCACGGCACGTCATTACCGAGGGCGCCACTGCTGTTTTGGTTTATACAGCAGCACTCAATGTGCCCACATGTCATGTCCACCCTTGTGTGACACAATCAGTCAATCTGCCAAGGTATGTCCCGTGGGCGTACCCACCTAAAACTGCCCACCACACGAGCCACAAAAAAGCGCGTTAAGCCTAAAAACAGTTTTCCTCCGCCAATCACAACAAGCAGTGATGTCAGCAAGGACTAGTACTTGGGGGTTAACCAAAAACGTTTAACACGTTAATTCATCTTAGAGTAAAGTGAAACCTCTCCTTGTGAGGACGGAAGTCATATCACATGCTGCGGTTGCACATCCACGCTGCGCAGGACGTGGTTAACAGAAAATCTCTGCGCGCAAAAGCCTCAAGGACCGCAGCAAAAGTGAGAGAACGACTGTGTTTGTTTCCACAGAGTGCAACCGAGCGCCTAGGCAGCTATGAAGACAGGCGTGAGAGCGTCAGTTTCCAGCTCCAGCCCGCGGTGAACATGAATGAAGAATGACCAATGGTAAGTAAGGGGAGCGTAGCCTACTTCTGCGCGGAGGTTTAAGTGGCCTAAAGTGAGCGGTGACGCACTGAATTAAACTTACATTAAACCCACCAAAATTCGAGCCGAAGTCAGGTCAGCGTTGGTGCGGGGACGATATCACACACATACAATGTCTGTCCCGTGTAAAGCAGCGCAGTGAAGTGTTTTCGAAACTTACCGGGAGCCGAGTTCACACGCGTCCGTCTCATTGCCTTCTACGTCGAGCGACTGGCTGACTACTGAATGTTGGGACTCTTTAAGGGTTTTCCAAACAGGGGAATCCCGTGCGAATAACTTCCCATTTACCAGTCAGAAGGAAAGTGAAATAGATTTAGGATTTACGGGAATCGGCTTCTGGTTTACAGGCATTAGGCAGAATCCGTGTAGGACTGGTTTAAATTCCACTTAAGTCAATGTTAACGTCCAGTAAAGGGTAAGAGATTCATTTGTTCATATAAGAGTAGGCCCTACTAATATAAAAATTTGAAAATGCTTCGTTATGAGTCCTTCATTCAACTTTTCATTTTGATAAAAGTTCATTAGTATTCTAAAGGTCAAATATAGTCATAATTCTACAGAATGGCCAGAGAGGTGTGGAGTTTAATTGCTGATGTAAGCAGAATTATAATCGTGTGGCTTGTGAAGATGAAGCTATTTCCAATTACTTTATACACTGCATCATATTTTACAACATTATAACATGTTTTGGATGTTTATCCTGCAAACTAGTAACATTTACTCAAATATAATGGAGTAAAAGGTGCACTATTTCTGTCTGAAATGTAGTGAGGTTTAAAATAGCATTGAATGAACATACTAAAGTTCAAATAAAGTACCTCAAAATCTGTACTTGAATGTACTTACTTTCCACCGCTGGATCTACATATGCCATTTTGACAATGTATTCTGCTTCATGGAAGTTAGCAGCGAACTCATTTAGCCTACAATTATAACATCAGGGAAGAATTGTGCAGCTGTGATATTTTGACTCTGGTTTTTAGAGTGCAAAGTCACACTAGAGGATGCTGAAATAAGAATTTCAGTTTCTTTGACAAAATGAAACAAAAATAAAATTTCCCTTTAGCTCTTATGCATGCCACTATTAGAAAAGAAATGAAACTGTCTCAGCACTAGAGTGAGAGATTTAGACTACTTTAGACCAGGCAGCTGCGAGGGGGCGCAGGCATGGATATTTAGAGCCAAGTCTTACCGGGGTTCCATACATGAAGAATGTACTGTACATGCAAATATGTTTTGGATAAGCTGACTGACCTCTCTGTCTCCCTCTCTCCCTGTATGCCTCACACTGTGACCCTACACTCTCAGCCTCTTCTCTGCATCAGTCTCCTTGCTCTTCTACTTCTACCTCTATCTCTGTCCTGTGACAGAAAAAAGCCTCCCATAGAAGTTAGAAACGATTACATGGCAATCGTGCAAACAGATCTCGACACCGCAGTAAGTAAGGCACCAATTCTATTCATTTATATATTTATTTTTTATGATGCTACACACAAGAGCACTAGACTTTTATTGTCATCCAGCAAGAAGCAAGCATTGCAGCTCAAGGGATTAATCCCATCTAATGTAGAACGGATGCACCGCAGTCTTTGAGCTCAGGATGGATTGACTGCACAATGTGTTGTTGACTTTAATTCTTTTAATCTGTTCTCTGGTTAAATATAATCATTAAGAAGGGGATGGAAACACTGTAAAGAGCAGCAGATGAGTTGGTGCAGCACTTTAAAAAGTGCTGTGACACTGGAGATGTGGATCGTGCAAAAACAGCTGCAACCTAATATTAGGTAGGCTATTGGATATTAACAGTTTTTATGCAGCCAGTCTTACAAGGAAGGTAAAGCGAAACAAGGAAACAAGCGTGAAGCCAGATACACTTACGGGGTGAAAGCTGCTGGCTCACCATTCCTGTCAATGTCAGGAACTGAACCAGCGGTCTTTGGAAATTGGTTGTTGTATGCTGGCTCTACAATTTCAGATAGTTGCTCAAAATATGACATTGAAACTATAACGTAGATTACATAATTACATTTGAGCAGTGTAATTATTTGCTCTTGTGTAAACCTGCTTGGTGGGAACATTTTTGTTTTGATTTTATGGAAACTGTCACACGTGCAATTTCTTTTCTCTATATTGACTTTTAAACCCTTCCCACCTGTCACCTAGCTGGTACATGCAGGTTTGAGCTTGTTCTAAATAGGCTGTTTCACAATTTTTCATTATAACCAAAAAAGGTCAAAAAAGGTAAGCAATAAAAGATTTCCTCAAACATGATGAATAAAAGCTTAGACTTGAAACTAACAAATCTTCATGTGCATAATTAATATTTATAACTGTAATGCTTTCATTCATTCAAGAGAAGAAATATCACAACCTTGCTGCAAAACTCATCCTGTTCTCAACGGAAACACAAGCTACATGACTGCACAGACAGCACAGTGAGTAATAATTATTCTGTAGTTGTCAGCTAAATGTTTTTTTTTATGTCTGTCCTTTTTATTTAATGATTTGCTTGGTGTATACAATTTAGTAACGCTTGTGTGCTTGAGTGAAAGATTAATACAAATACACACTAAGACCGTTAAAAACAAAAGGCTGTGTCCCTGCTCATCCACGTGCACATATGTCGCTATATGCAACAGCAACTCTTCTACAACTTCTTTACACATGAACAGATTAAAGAAACTCTAAAAAATGACTCTATAAATGACATTAAAGGGTTGGTATTTTTCAACCTGGACCCTATTTTCCCATGTTTTTGTGTTTATGTGACTAACTTGGTAACCCTTTAAAACACCAAAGTCACACAATAAAAACACAGACAAACTAATTAACCTAGGCAGCGGTACACCAGCAACCCCTGTGTTATCTGCCAGGTGCAACTACTGTTTTTATCAATGGAGTCTAGTGGCTTTGTCAAGAACAATATATTAACTGTTTCTGGTTAAACAAAGAGGATTTTACTCTTTAAAAAAGATCTACCTCTGTAGGGATCCTTCCACAATGTTGTCAGACACTTATAATAACAATTTGAGCCTGTCAGCGGCAAAAACAAGGACTTTAGTTGACGTTCTTTGATGGGGTGCAATTGCCCGCAAGGATTACGTTGCAGCCCTGTCTCGCTGCTGCCGACTGCAGCATGCTCGCTCAATACCGGAGCAATTGTCCCAGTTAGTCGCGTAGACACAGAAACATGGGGAAATAAGGTTGAATAATACCAAAGTTACCCTTTAATGATCAGACCAGAAAAGTAGTTATCAATCTTATTCAACACATTTTGATGAATTTGCTGCAAGTTGCATCCACCCATCATTTAGCCAACTGCAAGAAGAGCTTTTTTTACTGCACTGTCAGCTGTTATATTCATTGATGTATGTAAACTGGACCCCTATACCTCTATTCTGTAGGATTTTGTGAGCACCTTGCATTACCTAACCTGCAAAATGAAGAATTTAAGGCTTTCCGAGACAGATCCACTGGTCAGATCTGTACTAAACTCAATATATTGCCCTTGTCCTGAGAAACCGGTAAGTCAAGGTATTTGTTCAAATTGTAAAAATTTAGATGTACATTCTTAATAAATGTAGTCTTTTGTACTTTTCTAATAAAATTTTTGAAGGGGCAGCAGCACGGTGAGATGTTTACATATTTATTTGACATACAGTGGAATGTTGGCTGGCTGTAGTGTTTCCTTCTGACACATATTGGGTGACTCACTGGAGGGTTAGCTGGTTGGCTGTGTGGCTGTATCCAAACATGAGCCTATTTGCTTCTTACACAAGTTAGTGCCAGGCAGAGACAAGCTACAGCAGATGTAGTTTGTGCAGAAGGAGATATTCACATTATGCCTCTTTGTGCGGTGCCACGAACAAAACCCTTGAAACGTTTAGAAGCAGAAGTTTGGATTTCCAACTTCAGGGTTTCAGGTGTCTTTCTGAGTCACACTGAAATGCCATATATTCAGATGTCTGGACTGAGTTCAGACGAACGTATTTGTTAAAATGCAGCACAGAAAAGTTGGAATTTAACAGTAGTATATTCCCAAAATTTCATGGGACACCACACCTTCTTTACCACTGGATCAGCCATGTACTTCATTTTAAACAGCACAGGAACAGAATCAAATTTGATGATTCAGGCTCATAGTTAAAGTCTGAGTCATACAGTAGAGAACAAACCAGGACCTCTTTACAGCCTCAGGCCTCATTACACCAGCACAGGTTTAAAAATCTGGCTTACACTGTAACGTGGTTGGTTTTGATCCTTTTTAAGGCCGTCTGTCTCTTTTCAGAAATAAATTGGTATGCTGTGATTAGTGGTTAATGGTTGTCAGAGGTCAGATTTGTAATGGAGCAAATCACTAAAGGTCACTTTATAATTGAGCATTATAACTGATGGTCATGAGATCACTGAAAGGACTCCACACTAATTAGAACATTGTGTTTGTGTTGACTTCTTTCCACAAGACTAAAGAACCCAACATGAGCACGACGAGGAGACGGGCCACAATGAGAAAAAGGAGGAATGAGCAGAAAAAAAGTAGGATGGAGCAAAAACGTTGCAAAGCAAATGCGATCCTGTCTGCCATGGCTGAATGCTACATGATGCTGAATACGGAGTTAATGGACACCTGATTCTGTATTCTGAAGCAAAAAACTGGAACATCCTGCCGGTTTTTCCGTACTATTCAATTCTTGATTGGATTACACAAGAGGAAGCTTCCACTTCATTTAAGCTATCCTGTCCAGAACCAGTATATCTCTTTTGCAGCTGTTTTGGGTGTTGTATGACTACTGACTCTTTCTAAGCTATACAGGCACAAGCTATTAAGCCAACTTGAAATGGAAGTTCCAAGGCCATCCACCAAACAGGAATCCCTTAAAAAGGTGCACGCTGCGCAGCACACAGAAGTTCAGAAGAGAAGCTATTTTTTAAGATTCAAAGATGCAAGTGTACATCAAAAAGAACTTGTTTTAAGCAATTGGACTGTAAAGAATATGCTATCCCATGTACTTGGATTTAGAGATGACTGCTCAAGCATAACCAGGACATATTAAGTGCTCAGATACAGTTTTGCTTTCACTTCGGATTAGAATGACTATCCCTGGCGTATTTTTGTTATCTTAGTTATCTGAAGTGCCTTTGTTTTTCTGTCTGGGGTGTTGTTTTAGGCTGTGTATGAAGCCATTGGTACTCTTGTTAAAAATGACATTGTGTTGAATAATTATGGAGTATGATTGATATTTTAAAAGCTCATTCTGCCACAGATCGCTGAGTTCAGAAAACACAGCCGACTCCGTTCTGGGACACAACTAAGAAGCTTTCCTGTCATGCTCAGTTGGTGCTTTGATTAATGGTACCTGCCTAATTAAAATTAATCAGGAATTGTCTATAACTTTGGGTTCCACAATGCAAAACTGCCACATTTGTTGCTTTACATTATTTTAAGTGTGTACCAGAATGGCAAAAACACATCAGTATGCAACCCTTGTCCCTAGTTCCAGCTACCACTTTCAGTGCAGCAGCTATTTTCTCTTCCTGTCAGGGACCATGCATAATGCATTATAATGTAACTAATTTCCTTTTGTAAAATGTGTATTTGTTTTGAAGCACGTAATGCAACCATTATTGTATGTGACCCATGGCTTGTGTATTCCAAATATATTTATATCTAAAACAAAGTAAAGACTTATGTGTTACTTACCCTAAATGACCTAAAGTATTGCGTAACCAATGTTTTCCTTTTCCTCTCTTTTCAACAGACATACTCACAACTTCATCACACCTGTCTTCATAGAAATTTATTGATGGTGCATATACATGTCATTGAGTGCACAAGCATATCCAGGCTAACTGTTGCAATCAGTACAGGAAAACACACCAGTCCAGTCTGTTTCAACATTTCTTGTCAAGTAACGTAAAAAATTGCTTACTTCTTGGAATGTGGAACAAATGCCTTACTTCTCAGGGCTCCAAGATTATCATACTCAATCACTATTAAAAGTTTTGCATTTAATAAACATTAAGTGTGCACCTTAGGTAGAGGCCTTTCCCTCTTAGTGTCCCACCTGTAAATGAACGGTTTGGGGTCATAAATAGTGTCTGATATACCAAGCAGAGACATTAACCATATCCATACAGAGCATTTTAAAAGGACTATAGTGTTATCCTCCTATTGACCCTAAATACCTTAATGCAATACTGACTCAATAGAAACAATGTCAAAGAAAAAAACACTGCCACACATCCAGCTGCATTTAGGTTTCATACAAATCGAAATAAACACATTTTAATTCTGTAGAACATTAACAAAACGGATGCAGTCATTGTTCATTCAGCAACAATGAAAGGGAATAAGAAAATAAATTACTCATTACATTGTATAAAATGAGGAAATAAAGGGGTGTGAGTAAATGCTACATTTGTGTAGAAATGTCAGGCCTATGATGGTAACATCAAGATAGCTGGAAACAAACTGTCCTGCCTTAAAGGGAGCATTAAACTTTTAACAGCTAGTTCATTTTTGGACTGGTCCCTGTCAAAACAAGGTGATATCGTTCCAAAATATCAACACGTTTCCTTTAAAAACCACATTGTCAGTAGTGAATCATATTGCACTTCAATAGGAAGATATTCTGTTTGGAGGGAAGTGGAGGCAAATGGGATTAAGGAATGCGTTTCAGATCCCGGTTGACTGGGGATTGAGATACAGGGGCAATCACCCACCTATAATGAGTCACCCAACACTTTTCCTTTACCTCCTTTTCCATGTCACAACCCACCTCTTTGCTTTTATCTTCTCTACTCTTTAAGGATGCACCAGTAGCTTTCAATTGCTGATACTGACTCCGCTCTATAGGGTACTATTTATTATTGTCCAGTAACTCGGACCGCATTACGTAGAGTCCCATGACCAAAACAATAATCCTAATTGTTTTTTTGTTTTGTTTTTTGCCTCTAGTTTCACGGCAATAATATTCATGTGTATGTGCTGGTGTAAACTGCAGCGATCCAGCAGCAAAGGAAGCTAATTAAAAGTAGTGAGCGGCATGGGTTGTTCCTCTGTCAGACATAATCAGCTACCTTACCACAGTTCAACATAACTTTATATCAGATCAGTTCACCACTGACATCCATCAGTCTCCAATCAAAATAAATCATAGTAACTAAATGCAAAATGTATTCTAGATGGTTGTTGTGAAAATGGCAGAATTCATCCAACTCAGAAATTTCACACAGCTGTTAGATAAGGCCAGGGGTATCTCGGCCCACAGTGGAATGGAACAGCAAATTTCATGAAGGCGAAACAGCAATTAGAAAATAAAACGGCACCATAGGTTCGTCTGCCAGTTACACCGCTTTACCGCTGTGAAATTAGACCCAAGAGTAAAAACACAGACCGATCAGTTTTTGTTTTTTAATTTCCATTAGCTTTGGTGAAACTCTCTAATGCTAGTTTGAGTACTGGTGCATCCTGATGTTCTCCTATCGTCGCTTTCTTCTGACCTCCATCAGATACACATCCTCCTGACTCCACACTCGCAGCAGAATTTGGCGGACTCCACAGGGTACTTGGTCCCACAAGCGTGACAGAACTTGCTCCTCATCCCACCATTTCCCACTTCATTGTCGCCACAGACATCATTCCTGAGAAATTCAGCAAAGTTCACCAAGCAATAATGTAAGAAACTAAGTTCATTAAATTGTTATTAATTATATTTTACTACAGGGCTGGTGATACTGTTGAAAATGTTAAGAGTTTTTTAAAGTTTAAATAATGTAGAGATTTTAAGATACTCTAAAACATCTTGCTAAATGTATTATGAGTATAATTTAAGTCAATAGGAGAGACGGAGACATGACAAGCAAAAAAAATACTTAAAATCCCTTTAAGTGGATGAAGTTAATGTTTAAGTGTTGTGATAACAGTAGGTAAACATGTCAATTAATAAAAGTGTACTGCAAGTGTTTCATTTATTCATAGCGGTTGTATATTATGTGTTTAGCTTAATTTCATTAAATGGACAGTGCTACTGTTATCTAAGTAATCAGAACCTGGAGCTGTATGGCTTGCATATTTGTTTACATAATAATTATGCCAGCTGTACAGTTTCTTTTGTTTAAGCAATCTGTCATAACTGGGAAAAGCATGCATTATTTTTGTACAACAGGTTACAGAATGGGAACTGAATGGATGCTCCAGCTGTATGCAATACAACACCAAACCACAAGGGGTCAGCATTGTTCAGCAAGATGTTTAGATCGTGACAGTCATTCTCGCAGTTATCTTTTGGAGCAAACGTAATAGTGAACTGACTCACCTTGATATGTAGGTGTCCACTTTCTTCTTGTTGAGTGCTATTCCAGACTGAGTGTTCCTCACAGAGCCAAGGCCAGAGCTCACTGTTCGGGTCTTATTTCCCACACTGAGAGGAAAGACATAAGAGAAGAAAGACAAGGTTGTGTCAAATGCGAACCGATTGCAGGGCTGGGTTTGCGAAGACAGACCGAAATGCAGGTTTGACGTTCAAATCTCACATTTGCGCTGCCACTGATCCCCTACAGTATATTCACAGTTTGGACATATTATGCTTATGACACCTGACACATGAGTCAAGTCAGTTATGGTATTTATAAAATCTTCCTATCAGCACACTCCAACAAAAGATAAACTAATTGTCAGTGAATTCAAGCAACAGAGAAAGCACAAATGGCTAACTCATATCAGGTTAGCATTACTTTGAAATTACTAGATCATTATTAACCTAGAATGACTTAAACGTTTTTTCAATGACATGCCTATGCAAAGTGCTTCAAACTCATATAGATAATCTATTCTGCACAGTAAAGGGTAAAAACGTAAAAGTACCCCTTAGCCATCAATATATTCTAAACAAGTGAAGAACAATGCCTCTGACTTGTTTGTGAGGTGATCTTGCGTGTGTGCGTGCGTGCATGCACTGACCCTGATGGAGGGCTCGTAAGGCCGGAAGGATTATTCCTCAATGCAGAAGAGACCTTACTAGATGGGATTCCTTGAGCAAGAAGAAAGTGAAAAAAACAAATGAGTAACACAGAACATGTAACTGAAGTCCATGTAAGAATCTTTTCCTAACCTGTGTCATTTCATTTAAACATAACTGTCATAAAATATAAACATATATTGTGAGGTGTGAATGCAACACAGCTGTGCCCTTACCACTGGGCTGTCCAAGGCCGGATCTCTGGGGTAAACGAGAGGAGGCCGAAGGGATTGTTGACACAGCAGCTGAGTTGGTCTTCTTTACGGAAGCAGGAGGCTTGACCTAAAGACAGAGAGAGAGAGGGGCAATGGAAAATAAGTACATAATACACAAAATTAGCTATGGAGGTCATGGGATTAAGCATTCACATAGTCGTTCTACTTGGACACACAGAAATAGGAATAGGACACATAGGCATGTATCACTAAACTTAAGACAACATGACAAAGAGCAGACCATAGATGGAGTATGGTTATTAGTAATGTGTGTGAACACTTGTTATGCACTGTGATACCTTGAAATATGTAAACATGTGCGGGGGTTTGGCTTTACAAACAGGTATAATGTGTTTTAAACTGCTATGAGGAAGAAAAACTGACTGAGTTGCACTGGTCCATAGCAAATATAAAAAATGTGCTCCACCATGGCACAATGGGAAATCTATGTGACATAATGATCAACGATGAAGGTTTTTCTCAGTATGATGGAAAGAAAACAGAGCTCTTAACCAAAATGGTTTGGACCCTGCTGTTTTTATTGGCTGCCAAATTAACTCCCCAGTCATGTGCCATAGCTGTTGCTAAGTGACAGTGGTAAGTCTATGCCTGCTGCCAAGTGGGTATCTCACCATGGTAATAACAGACAAGGAACTGTTATGGATTTACGCACAACACTTTAATGATAAAGAATTGGCAATAACTTAGTAGTGGGGCGAGAGTGGCTGTGTGGCCATCTACACATACACACAATACTGTACGTAAACAAAGCTAGTCATAATGAGAAGAAAGATGCACGCAATGCAGTGCATTTACTCGGGTCAAATCATTTTTTCATACTATCAAGTGTGGCTAGCTTAATCGCCTTCTCACAAACGAGTGACAGAAACGAAGCGTTAATATTACTGTAGTTACCTCAAAAGAGTGATTGTCTCGAGTCGGATGCCAAAGTGCGTGACCGTGCGAGCTTACAGCAGTGCCCACAAAACACAACATTAGAGGTCTGTAATTTTATTATGAGATGTGAAAATATTTTCAGTTTATTTTGAAACTATGGTGGAGCAAATTAGACTGAACACTGAACAGTCAAAACACCATTTTCCAACATAAACACACATGTACCTGTGTGCGAGCAGGAGGCTTCTTTGTATCTCCTATCTTGCTCTTGGTGGGTATCCGGGCGGCCTGCTCCTGGCAGAACTTGATGTGTCTGTCAGCTGCACTCTCGTTGAACCTCCGCTGACAGAAAGGGCACTGAACATAGTCTAAAGACAAAACGAGAAAATAGACCTGTAAATGCATTTATTGTAAAACCACTACAGTGACACAAATCCTGTATATAGAGAAATTAGTTCTCTAATTAGAAAAGTGCTGCTACATGAGGGCGATTTGACTTGTACTTTCTTTTTGTCCTTTTCTCTTTCTGTAAACTCAATAAGTTACATTTTCACGTGGGGTGCCACATTCTGAGGCAAAATTATTTCCAGATAATTTTTCTAATTTTGTCAGTAATGTTTTCTACTTTCACCTACTGTACTGTGTCCTAAAAAATTATTATCATTACTTGCAGACATATGAGAAGTCTAGAAAGGAATCATGAGCCCTGGTAAGCAGCTGTTTTGTTCCCAATTATAAAGAGTTTCTTAACAATAACCATATTACAGTAATAGTTTTTACTTTAATTCTTCTGTTCTTCTTGCTTAAATCCACTCTGCATAGAGGTGCGTGTTACCTGGGTCATAAGTAGGTGGCGGAGGTGGGGGTAGTGGTCCCCCATCCTTCATGACCTGAGTGAGGACTTTGGCAGCCCGGATGGTAGCAATGAAGTCCTCATGTTTCTTGCGCCAGTTGGATGGTTTCTTAGGCGGTTCTGCCTGGCAATAGGCAACACAGGAGAGGCTCTGATACAACAGCCTATTTGCTTTTTTTTACCACAACCTTAAACAGCTATTGTTGCTTGTCATGGTAAACCTCATCAGCCATTCGGCTGGGTTGTCATTACTTGTACTGAATGTGTCCTCATTATTTATGAGCAGACTGATAACCGGATGTTTTGAAAATAAGGTCACCCCCCCTTTTGATTGTTCTCTCAGTGTCTCTAGTTACTCTCTGTCTTGGATGACCAAAAGATAGTTGTAACCTGAAATGTTCTCTTGACCAAAACTTTAATGATTATGTTCTTATTTAGGCCTGGAAATACATTTCAAGTCTCAGTTTTACAGCACGCAGCTCTCTGACTCTCATAACTGATTAACTTTATTTACCCCAAAACCTTTCTTTCCATAGTGGCAGTCTGGGTCTTATCTAAAGCTGATGATTTCTGACAGAAGTAGTTCACTGAACTGAGTTGCTTCTGTGGCAACCTGATAGCCCCGCTGACTCCCTGCTTCTTCCTATATGGTTACAGTCAAGTTCATTAAATAGTTTGTCTGACAAACACGGATGATTTTGAGGGAAATGAAGCTAATTTTCCTTCATTCCCTCTAACCATGCACCATTCATACATGCCTCATTCCTCAACACATGATTAGTTTACACAGGACAGAGTGAGTGTGCAGCAGTTAAAGCCAAGACAAAGGAAAGAATTATTTATTCTTTTTTGTTGACATCTTAACAACTGCCAGGCAACAGACCTCAGACTGGGCACTAGGATTAGCCTGTCTTGGCTACTCAGAGTGACCTTAGGTGCCTTGAGACGTCCTTACAACCTACACAAACAAAGCTCTGTATTTTAAGGTGCACTGTCAAAGAGTGAGAGTAGGAGTCTACGACAGGTTCAAAAGAATTAGAACAGAGGTATCTAAGAATGTCAATACAGTAATGGTTAAAGAAAATGAAAATATAATGGGATACATGATATTGTCAGTTGTAGATTGTTGCAAGGTAAGGAAAATATCACAGTTTTAGTTTTTTTTAAACTAATAGCACCACCAGTATGAGTTGATGACCTCCAAACTATAGAAGCCAATGATTCAAAGCAAGGAAATCAAATTTTTAAAGGCAGAAACAGTGAGTGAATACTTCTTGGGCTTCAGCAGATTAACTGTGCCACTAAAAAAAAAATCACATACAGATAGAAAGGACAAATTAAAAAAAAGACTAATCAACTTACTTTCGCAGTAGAAGACGAACTTTGTGACTGAAATACAATTGAAAGTGATTTACATTTGAAAATAACCTGCCAACACAGAAGACTGAATGTCCTAAATGGAACAGCAAATATTAATAACACGAGCTGTTCATCACAGTAATGATCATATTGTTGAACAGATCTTCACAGTTGAATCTCTTCTGGGTCCTAAGTTAAATGTAGTAAATATAGCAGATGAGCCGGGGTAAACAAGGCTATAATGCTGTTTTGAGCTGTGGAATGGAATATGTGTATCTAAATTAGCAATGTACACAAAACTACTCTAGGCATTGCATTGTAAATACTTATAGTGGATAGATGAATGAATGAATGACTTCAGGTTAAAGATAGAGAATGTCATTTTTATCATGAAAGTAGCGGATGAAAATTACAATATGTCAAATTCAGCTTAAAGCTGGAGTAGGCAACTTTTTCAGAAGCATTTTTATATTATATTATATATGAAATTCTGTTAACATCCCGGGTTCAATTAATAAATCAAATGCTCTGACAGAAAAATGAAAAAACAAACTGGTATCTGTGGCTGTAATAAGCACGACCGATCATCAAATATATACATCTAATCAAATGACCTGATTGGCACACCTACCTGCCTTCATTGCTAATGAAAACATGCTTTGGAGGGAGAAAGGGTAGGTGTGCTATTTCTCCAACGTGGCATACCCCAGCTTTAAATTCATCAAATTTTCCTACAGAGTTTCCCGACTGATTTGTAAAACTTTGAGCAGTTTCTTTTTCCTATTAATAATCAAACTGAACTCTCTTGGATATGTTGTGTTGGATTTCCATCCCGCTCGTAAGGTGTGGTCTTACCTTTGGTTTGATGGGTTTGAGAGTGGGAATGTCTGTGCCCTCAGCTCTCTGTCTACTGGAGTCAAAAACCTTCCTCCTTTTGGTCGCTGACTTTTGGCAGATTTTAGCATGTTTCTCCTGTAGAAAGATCAAAGGTGCACCATGCACAATAACTACACACCATAAAAATCTGTTTCTACATGTTTTTAGAAACACTTGCCATCATTTGAAACCGCTGTCAATTTGTTTCAATCACATTTCCAAAGTTTTTTGTTTTCTTTAAAAGAGGTAGAAAGTAAGACACACATGATTTCTGTGACTGCAGCAATAAGGTAAAGAGTAAGAGTAATACAAACACTTCTAGCTAAAAATTAGTTTGTGTAACATTAATGACACCAGTAATACACTGAATGCTGCATCCAGTTGTTCCAAACCTCCGGATGAAGACACAAGCACAGATTCCCCCTACACAAACACACATGCCAACATAATAATGCGCTAATGCATCCTGCATTAACGTACCCATTGTCAACTAATGAGGCTGAGTGCTTATATAAAAGCACAAATTGTGTATTTGCATTACTGGGAAACAATGTTCCAATAACCTAATGAAATCACCATAGCTTTGATGTGGTAAAACCCAACTCTGTATAACATGGTAAAGTTATGATGATAGTGTGGTGGTGATAATAAAAATATGCATCATAGTCATCTTTATTTATGTGTATAACTACTATATAAAAAACCATGTGTCCATAAAGTTTTCCATAATGTCCATAAAGTTTTCATTTATAAATATACAGAATCTTGTAGACAATAAATAAGTGCTGATGATTGATTGATTTCTTTTCTACTACCATTACCTAAAATCTGCACTCCTGGATATAAATTTCACAATGCACTTCAGCACTACAGCAGAGCCTTTGTCAGGCTTTTAAACCATGCAGTCAAAAATCTTACAACCCTCCCTAAAAAGACCTCTTCACAGGGCCCTACTGCCTATTTGGATTGTTGCCAATGACACATCCAAACAGCTGATAAGCAGCTGATAATAACTGTGGAAAATATTGTCACCACAGAAAACATCAGCACAATAACACAATAATTGATCTTTTTAGCAAGCAAGAAATACTTTCAAGTTGTAAATTTTAGCTGAGCTAAATCCACTACATAATCTTCAAAATATGTCTGCTCTTAACACAGTATTTGTCTTGTGATTATTATAGTCTATAACATAATATAGCAATTACGAAATGTTAAAAATGACCACTAAGTAGTTATTTTTACCAGGACTTTAGGGAAGAACCATCTTTTACAGGTGTTGCATTGAGTCAGATCCTCAGGTGGAGGAGCTTCGCAATCTGGAAGAATAAGAGATTAAATTCAGATTGTAGTGGGGGAGGTTAAATGTCACCTACACCAGAAATAGACCAAAGCAAGGCACCTTTGTCTTACTGATGAAATTATCATGAGTAGCCAAACGTTTTTGTGTTTTATTCATCATATTCAATCATTATTATGTAACAGCCAATATCTGATACAGGGTCAATGATACCTTCATAATCATAGGTTAGGATTTGGGCAATGCTCTTAACAAGCCACAATGTCGTAAATGGTTGCCTTGATTTATTTGTTAATCTTACACTAATTCCACCAATCACTTCCAAATGCTGGAAAACTGAGGTGGCTAGCTATGTTTAACGTTACATATTCATAAACGTCGTTCAAATATCCATGTCGTCAATATAGCCTTAAGTACTATTCAAAACAAATAAAACAAATAACATCGAACTGCTCCTTGAAATACTAAGGTTTAATTCATGTCAAGGTTCATTAGTTAGCAACATGCTAACACTGGATAGCCCCTGTGGCTAATGTAGGGATCACACCCATTCAGGGACAGTCTGTAGCTAGCTTCATCTTTGGCACTGACGTTACCTAGCATTAACGTTACTTGGGCTAACCTAAATCCCAAAGAAAAGAGAGGTCGCTGACAAAAACTGGTAAAATAGTAGCAGTAAAGAATCCGCCAATTTAGGAGGATAAAACGGAGAGGTTGTGAGCTCGATATAGCAACAAAACACCTAAAATAAACGTTTTAACGACAATATCTCTCACCTTCAAATTCCTCCATCATTAGGTTATCTCTTGTCTGATACTGCTGTTGTTACAGACGGCCAAAACTAGCCAGAGGAAGTGAGAGGATTCACCCTTGCACACTTCCGGCTTGGCTAAAATTCAGACGACCAGTTTCAAGTTTGTGACGTTACCTCTGTTTCTCCAAAATATTGCAATACATGTGGAATACAGCAATATGTTTGTTTTATGTAAGTTACTGACAGTGCTCTGTCAGCTATACATTTTGCTCCGCATGTTTCTCCCATTTATGGGCAAAGCCTGTTTTATACAGCATATGGGGCAATGTATTGTGTCTTACATTGTGTCGGTTATATTACGAAGATTTCCTCATACATTATAAACGATACGATTCTAAATAATTGGTGATAATATTGTTTGTAGACTCTTGTACCCATGTGCCATTATAATTCAAGTCTAACAGGTCATAGATCGGGCTTGATGAGTTATTACTCTCTTGACATCACTGATCTTTGGCTACCAATAGCAACTGGATTGTCTGATGGCACTTCACGTGCTAACATCCGCGTATTTCATTGGCTGTTACTGCACAGTGTGGGTTAATGCTGTGTGTACTGCGGGTGGGCGTGGTAAGCAACCCCTTTCTAAGCTTTCCAATAATTATTCCCAAAATATGGCATTTTGGTGAGATATCACTTTTGCAATTTTCATGTTAGGTAAGGAGTCCCCCTCATTTTACTGAAATCTAGTAAATTCATGTAGCATGTTCATGCGCGGATAGCTATTTCATGTCACTGTTGGTGGAAATAATAAAAACATCTCCCAGCGGGGGGGTTTGTAGTCGCTGAGGACCAGATCAAATGTAGGCAGCGGACCAAACCACTGTGAGGCATGTGAGGGGGGTGAACATCCTCTGAAAAACGCATTGGACTCATTATAGAGAACAAGAGCTGTTAACGATATTGTCCTGCCAAACATTGACTAGACGCTGACGGACAACAGTGGCTAGCCTAGACTATATTTAATTGTTTTGATCAAAATAATTACTAGGGACAATTCTCCTTTTTTGGTTGATTGGCAGTATTGATGGGAATTACGACCCTCATCGTTCACCTAAAAGAGCCGGCTCACTAATTTAGCAGATAAAAAAGGAACGAATTTGGACATTTTTTTTTACTCATGGCTTGTAGGCTTATACAATATCATACACATAGGCCTATTCATTTAATAAATCTAACTTCCGTCCTTTCATGAACAGACTGTTGAATAAGAATCACTTTTCTTGTTTAAAATTCTGATAAACAGACTGAATGAGAACACACATACGATCTGGTGTTCACCTTCTGGATAGAAATGAGAACCTGTTGAGGATGTAGAGTGGGCTACATGGCTAGTACATGAGGGTTTTTTGCCCTTTGAACTGATTTTAAGGGCAACTACTAAACTCGGAAATAATGTATAATTGTTACATAAGGCTATAATGTAAAATTCCTGATGAAACAAACAAAAAACTTTTTTTTCCTACTGGTCAAAATCAAAATAGGCCTTTTCTACCAAAAGGCCTATTTTGCCTTTTATTTACTTTCTATTTCAATATTGTATGGTGAGAGACATCATTTCAAATATGATTATGAGCTCCTAAACAATGAAATCTCAAGTTGCCTTTGTTGGCTCAAACACTTTCCCAAAGCATTCGGAAGTTCCCAGTTTGGCATATTGAGCACAAGTGTCATCTGAATGGATTCATTCACAGCCAGCTGTTATGAGACTGCAGTAAACATGTTAGCCTCTGTGCCTTCATCACAACAAGATCACTGTTCTGTTCTCACACTGGCTCTCTGTGATCTCCTTCTGTCTGTCTGTCTTTCTCTCTCTTACACACACACACACACACAGACCTATACAATAACTGCCCTGTCTGTTAATCTGTAATCTGACCAACAGCTTTCATTGATAATTGTTGGACAACCTGAGCTTCTTTTAGACATCTTTTTTAACAGTAGCCTAATATTTACTGATAACTGTACAGTTGGCATTAAAGTGGTTATTACTGTGATATAGGCTATGTATTATATTAGCGTAGTTATTTTATTTTACCAATATGAATTGATGCCAGTACCAATCTGGTTTATTATATAAAGCCAGTAGATATATAGAGTGCAGGCTTGGCCGGTGATGCAAAAAGTTGCTTTCAAGCCCCGAGTGTGAGCCTACTTCACAAACAAGGGCTTTATTTTGAAATGTGTACCCGGAAGCCGTAGCATTGTGGCATCGTCTTGACGCTGGTAGATCCTCTCTGGTGAGCGCAATGGGGAATACCGAAGTGGCATCCGAGCTGATGTGATTGACCCCTGCGAATCTTCGGAAATCCTTTAACCCAAACAGGTACCCTACTGATAAAATAGCAATAACTATAGGAATAGAGTGTGCATGTGTAATTAAATGTGTAACGTTAATATCCACGCATTGCGCGTTTACTGGCACTGACTGAGCTGTGGGTCTTTGTCATCAGAGAAAGACGTGCATTTATTATTGAAATCAGTTTGAGCATGTCGATCCTCCTGCAGCATTAATGACTTGTCTTAATGTAAAGGTTAGGCCTTACATTGTTGACACTTACTGTGTCAACAATACAAGTGATTTATTAGAGGACTCAATTACGCACGACTATACCTGATGCATGCAGCGCGTCCACTCAGCCCATTATAGATGAGAAATGTTGGAAGACATCTATTTAGACCATACTCTAATAAAGGTTTTCAATGGACTAATGGTAGCTCACACAGAATCATGGCAAGGGCACTTAATACATTACTCCATACATCCTGCCACAATCCTACAGATTAAAGATTTAATAGGATGCTCTGGAAATCTGTGGAAAACACTTTACTCCACTAAGCTCCTATATAAATGTTATTGAGATATTATATATTTGGGAATAAAATTGTACATTTTCTTAACGGCTGTGTAGGAGTATTGTGCATTTGTATGTCTGCCTAAGAGAGAAAGAAAGACTGCTGGGCATCATTCCCAGTTACGCCCAGGCCACCTAGAATAACACTGGCATAAGTTTCTGGGACTCCATTTCTGCACTCCCCTCATCACTGCCACACTCACTGCTAATTTTCTGTTTGGCAGCACAACAAATCAAATGGTTGAAGAGCAGGAGCAGCCAAGTTGTTTTACTTTTTATTTTCAGTTTTTAGGAGGTGACAGAGAGAGAGAGCAGATCACACTGGCCTTTTGTATCATTTGGTGATTTGATCATTTGTCGGAGTTTGTGCTTGATATATAGTTGTTCAGGCCAGCTGAGCTCTGGTTCCCACATGGGATCAGTGCCATAAGGACAGCAGGAGCATGCCTCTGCAAGAGCAGGACACAGGACACACACACACACACACACACACACACACACACAAATAAACTGCCTATTCATGGGTGCAACAGTGTGACTAAATTATGTAAACTGTAAAATTAATATTTAATAGAATATGAGAACGGGGAAACACATGTTCTGAATGAAGAATGTTCTGTCATGTTTAGCTGTGTTCACTTTATATGTTTTGTGCCGAATTAACTTTTGCCTTGGAATTTGGTTTGAGCCTTTTTCCATTTTTTTTAATCAGCACTAATTATTTACCAAGAGAGATGTCCCTGTGAAAGTACTTATGGAAAAGGTCTGGTTATGTAAAGATCCTCATACTGTTTTTAAAATCCAGCAATACATTATCATCACTGACTCTGATGATACACTAATTCCCTGTCTATAAATTATACACAGTCATCTTGTCTGTCTTGCGTCCCCATGTTGAGTCTGACAATTGCACATGGACAACATCTTTTGGGTCTTGCCTATCTTGACCCCATTTTTAGAATGACAGCTGAGTGGGTGCGTGCTCAGATGATGACAGAGAAGGCGTCCCAAAATAGCCATGGTCAATCAGCCTGCTTGGCTCTGCAAATAGCCACAAATGGATGTGGGAGCTAAGGAAATTTTAGCAAATTTCCCTATTATTTATAAATTCAATATTTAGACTGGAGTAAAACTAAACTATCCTTTGAGTGTCCAACAGTACATGAAGTCTCAGAAAAGCTTGTTTTTCTTTGTACTCCTACTTTTGTTATAATTGCATAAATTAAAAATCGATGAAGTTAAGAAAATCACAGACTGATGGATTTTAACTAGTGTAAATGGGTGGAGGAAGCCAGAAACTGCTTAGTGCTGAAGGGAAGCCTCACCCAGGCAGATTTATATGAGAATGTCAACAGAGGGGTTTAACCTAAATCTCCGTGGCAACACAGCTCCCATCATGCTCCATGCTCACTCCAAGTGGGATGACATGTGAAAACAGTACCGTCCTCCCTTGTGCCATAATTACCCCTCTGAGTGTGTGTTTTTGGTTGCTGTATTTCATCAGCTCAAGAGCACCCTCATTTGTGTTTCCATTCCACTTCTGTAAAAAAAAAATTCTCCTGTGTCAATGGTGTCGCCCATACCCTAGACTGAGATTAAAATAGATTAATCAGGGATTAGGTCACAAGATAAGAGGAGGGAGGGATGTATTGTATGAGTGCATGGGTAAACCACTGTGTCACTTTCATCATGTCAATCAAATCAAAGGAAATGTTCATTTCTGTGTGTGTGTCCATATGCACTGCTGTGCATGTCAGGCCCTGCTATGGTGAGCTGTGTTAGCGATGACGGATGTGGAGGCGACCTATGAGGACTTCATTGCCTCTCGACGGTCCGGCCGCAGGAATGCCATCCATGATATTCCAGCAGCCCCTGGAGCGCAGGGACCCACGGACCCGTCACAGAGTCTGGCACAGCTCAACATCAACAAGTCAGGTAAGAAACATCACTGTCATATTGACACATATTGTTTTACCGTAGCCACAATAAACAAGTAAGAAGGGATTGGTATCGAGAACTTGGAATAATTCAGTGTAATTGAGAAGGATCATATAGTATTGCTGGAAAATGTGTTTCAATTGCTCGTATCAAGTACAGAAGTACAAAGAGTGCATAGACGGTGCAGTTCCTTTTTTAATACTACCACCAGGGGATGCCAAAAGCCTGAAAGTTTGCATTTCTGTGTACAGTTTCTTTAATAATGTCTATTTATTGCAAGAATTGGTATTGTATGAATGCAAAACAAATGTCTCATTCACAACCAAGGGAGAAAAAAATAGAAACACTGTGCCCTTAGGCTCAAAAGTATGCTATGCTTATTGTTACATGAATTGGACGTTTGACTTCCCATGTATGGAAGGAGATATGTGCAGAGTTTGACACTGGAAGGCTGTTTTCACACCCAGCTGCTGAAGGGGGGAGGGTTTTATCTGTGTTCACCTTAAATCTAAGATTAAGATATGTGCGAACAAAATGGTTTTGTGACATCACAACTAGTTTGATCATAGCCAATCATAGTCTAGAATGCAAGTGTATAATACATATAAGTGTATAGACGTCATCTTCTAGTGCACATACACTGAGAACGGACTATACAGCAAAGTAGGAGACATCTTATGTCTTGTTGCTTAAATGTATATTAGAATCAGAATCAGAAATACTTTATTGATCCCTGAAGGGAAATTCTGTGTTACAGTTGCACACATTGCACCAGGGCAAAGGAATATAATAAAGATATTGGTATATAGAGAAGTAGAGTAAAAATATAAAATAAAATAAAATAAGGAATGTGGATATGTACAATATTTACATAGTTAAAGGAATTGTTATGATACAGTATTTACATAATTAAGGAATTGTTATGGTGAACAGTAATAAGGAATAAATAGTAGCAGCAGAGTATTGCACATTATAATTTAAGCAGGTGTTATTGCACAAAACAGATAATATTGTCCAGTTTGAAACTAACTAAGTGTCTGTGTGTCAGACACGTAGAGGGATGAGTTATAAGGTTTGATGGCCACAGGCAGGAATGATTTCCTGTGGCGCTCTGTGGTGCATTTTGGGGGAATAAGTCTTACACTGAATGTGCTCCTGTGTTTGAGCAGCACGTCATGGAGTGGGTGGGAGACATTGTCCAAGATGACATGTAGCATGGACAGCATCCTCCTCTCTGACACCACCAACAGAGAGTCCAGCTCCACCCCCATAACGTCGCTGGCCTTGCTGATCAGTTTGTTGAGCATGTTAGCGTCTGCTACCCTCAGCCTGCTGCCCCAGCATGCAACATGCAACCTCCTCAGAAAATAGAGACAGCTTTGGCCCTTCCAGTAGAGGGCTTGAGTGTTTTTGGCCCAGTCCAGTTTATTGTGTAAGTGCACTCCCAGGTATTTATAATCCTCCACAATGTCCACAGGGACCCCCTGAATGGAAACAGGGCTCACTGATGCCTTGGCTTTCCTTAGATCCACAACCAGCTCCTTAGTCTTTGTCACATTGAGCTGTAGGTGGTTCTGCTCACACCATGTGACAAAGTCCCACACCACAGCTCTGGACTCAGCCTCGTCACCCTTGCTGATACATCCAATCGCAGCAGAGTCATCAGAAAACTTCTGAAGATGGCAGGACTCTGTGTGGTAGTTGAAGTCTGTGGTGTAGATGGTGAAGAGGAACGGAGAGAGGACAGTCCCCTGCAGGGCCCCGGTGTTGCTGATCACGCTGTCTGACACACAGTATTGCAGGCGCACATACTGTGGTCTGCCTGTCAGGTAGTCAATAATCCAGGACACAAGGGGGGCATCCACCTGCATCACTGTCAGATTCTTACCCAGCAGGGCCGGCCAGATGGTGTTGAAAGCACTGGAGAAGTCAAAAAACATGACCCTCACAGTGCTCGCCGGCTTGTCCAGGTGGGCGTAGGTGTAGTTCAGCAGGAAGATGATGGTGTCCTCAACGCCCATTCGGGGCTGGTAGGTGAACTGGAGGGGGTCACAGCTGATCCAGAACCAGTCTGATCCAGTGGTCAATGCCACAGGTCTGTAGTCCTTGGAGTCACTGGGACGCGGTGTCTTTGGCACAGGAACGAGGCAAGATGTCTTCCACAACACAGGGACCCTTTGGAGACTCAGGCTCAGGTTGAGGACATGGTGAAGGACTCCACATAACTGGGGGGCACAGGCTTTGAGCACCCCAGTGCAGACACCATCAGGGCCTGCAGCCTTAATAGGAGTCTCCTCAGCTTTCTTCTCATCTGGTCAGCAGTGAGGCACACAGAGGTTACAGGTGGGGGAAGGAAAGAGGAGGAATCGTCAGGCTGGAGAGAGCTGTTAACCTGAGAGCCGGAGGAGGAGGGAGTAGGGATCTCCCAGGAGGAGGGTGAGGGACAGTGAGGAGGAGGGGGGAGTAGTGGGGTTGGAGGTGATACAGCAGCTGAGTTAGTGCGGGGATGGGCAGTAGCCATAGCATCAAATCTGTTAAAGAACAGATTAAGTTTGTTGGCCCTGTCCAAGCTGCCTTCAACTCCTCTGCTGCCAGTCGGTCTGAAGCCAGTGATGTTCCTCATGCCGCTCCAGACCTCCCTCATGTTGTTCTGCTGGAGTTTAAGCTCCAGCTTCCTCCTGTACTTCTCAACAGAGGGAAACGTATATCTGTATAGTTACAGATTCTCATGGCTGCTGTTCATAATGCTGAATTTGGGCCAGCCCTGGGCCTTTCCCCACATTCAAACTGGCAGATGGGCTGGTGGAGACTGATAACCAACCATGTGCTTTGACTTCCTCATCATTAGTTTCCTCCACTCTGGTCAGGTTCTGCGTTGTTAAAGTGAGTTATGTAGTTACTTCAATGCCTTTTGTCCGTGGTCAGAAAATGGGCTTGTGGTGTGGTCTCTGTACATGCATCCAGTTAAGCAGCTTCAGATTTATTATTTATTTATCAAAACAGTATTTTACATCTTAAAACATGCCAGGAAGGGCAGACTATTGATTTTAAATGTAAAATACAGTATATAAAAGTTCTATGAAAGGGTCGGGGGGTGGGGATGAAAATGTCAATACAGTTACATATGTGTTATGAGTTGATTTTTCACTGCTTCTGCCATGTAGACTTCTATTCCTGTTGTCTTCATGGGGACTCTCTCGCTGATTCAACCAACCTCATTCGCATCGCTGACTTCACCCGTAGTAACTTATGTATGAAACTGTCTCTGTCTTTCCCTGTCTGTCAGGTGATGAGGGAGAAGACACTGAGAAAAGCCAGGACTCTCCAGCTAAAGAAGAGGAGACCCAGGCTGAGGGCAGCTAAGCAGCAAAGACCTGCTGACATTTGCAGATTCAAACAACCGCTTCCTCTTGTCTAGCTGATCCCTGAGTGCTAGGCCTCTAACTGGCCAGTTGCATCTAATGACTATGAACAGACACAGCAATATCCTCTCCTTCCACCACACTGCCATCAGGAAGTCATCGCCATGGTAACCAGAGTGCAGTTTCCCTTCTGCCCTTGGGCGTGTTCCAATTTCCTTAAAAAGCCTCCTTTCCTTTCTGCCTTTCCTTCATTGCTGCTGATATGAGATTGGATGTGTTGCATGATCAACACAGCAGGACGTCAACAACCAAAACCAGCCCTGTGTGACTGTCAGTGGTCCTGGGAGGAAAGGTGACAAGGGAAAAGAGGCCATTCAAGGTTTTTGGGGCAGGCTTAAGTGTTTCCACTGAATTCAATTTTTGTCTTCCCTTCCCCCCTTGCTTTCAATCAATCACCAATTCCAGGGAACCAGGCACAGTGATTGGACACTTCTCTTCCTCTGCTCTTCTTCACGCATCAACTCATGCACACACTTTCCCCTCTGTCCGTGCTCACTTGTGACTCCCTCAATGATTTGTTTCTGTATATTTGTTTATTTTGGGCCACAGATCTAGCTTTATCCATATATTGGGGTAGTGATGGCGCATAGATAAGATGCTTGCCTTTGGTGTGGGAGACCTCGGTTAAATTCCCACTGTGAGACATCCACCATTGTGTCCCTGAGCAAGACACTTAACCCCTAGTTCCTCCGGAGGCATGCAACCTCTGACATGTATAGCAATTGTAAGTCGCTTTGGATAAAAGCGTCCGCTAAATGTAAATTTATCGCATTAGCTTGTTGGACACCATTACAACTGCACTCCAGTGTTGTCAAGATTAAACATCCCAAGGGAGGGTGGTATTGTATTTTTGTATGTGTTGTTTATCTGTGTCAGGTTCGATATCTCAGACACTACTGATTCAGTTTGAAAGGAATGTGAGTAAATAATCTTGCCGTCTGGCATTTTTAATATTACATGCACTGGTCAGACACGGCCAGTCCACTTCAGGTCAAAACACAGGACATGCAGCATTTATTATTGAGTTAGGAACACAATCGATCTGCTCTCTCACTCTGTCACAGTGATCAAGGCAAAAGCTAATCGAAAGAGCAACAATGTTCTGTTTACTAACCCATAACCAAGTTCAGGCCTCACAGATACAGCCAGCATGTATTTCTACTATATAATGCATATTTTCCTCCCTGAATGCAGCATTTTGAATTAATTTTGTTGCCAATGCAAGTGGTCTATTACCTATACTGTTATTTATATTCAGAATTTTGTAATTTCTAGGTGTTTGTATATACACAGAAAAAGATTTTCTGATGTTTCAGTATTTAAATGCTACTTTCCCATGATTACCAAATGTTTAGTAAGCAGTTAACTTCAAGTATTCTTTGTGAGATTGACTTTCATTCTTGCAGTTATTCAGATGGTAGCTAATAGTAATGGAATAACATTTTTCAAATAAGGTTATACCCTTACCATACATCATATGTAAAACTTGTTTGGTTACTAAGTAGAGTTAATACAAAAAGTGCCCATATTATACCGTGTCCTGGTTATCCTAGATCAATACACTGCCGTTTAGCATATACAAATGTGTATCTGTGAGTGTGTGTGTGTGTGTGTGTGTGTGTGTGTGTGTGAGGATGTGTGATTTGGATTATGTTGGGTAGTGAGAAAAAGGATTTATTTGCTGGTGGAGATGAGAAAAGTTACAATACTGATTGCACTCAAGTACTCTAGCGTGTTATTTATAATGTATTACTGTTTATTTCAGTTGTGTATTTCTTTTTGTTACAGGGTGTCTGTTTGAATGATTATTGTTGTGATTGTATAGACTTCAGAAAATAACACCCATCTCAGTACTATAATGGTACCTTTAATACACTGCCTTTTACTATTACACCAATCACTGAATTCATACAACACTGACATACTTTTGTGTGGTTATTATTATTATCAAAACTGATGACATCACTTGGTTTTCCTTGCTTGTTTTATGAAATCTTAGCTACATGAACTTGAATATGAAATTAAATGCCTTGTTACAGGGGCATTTCTACATTGTATTTAAGGTCAAGAATAACTTGTACATTGAATCAAGGTATAGTGTGTACAGTTGCACTGTAGGTGACTTAGAGCACCCATTGTCATGTTTTCCATGTTGTTCTTTTGTGCAGCTCACTCATGAGTTATGTGTGTCACTGTGTTGTCAATGACTTTACTGTATAATGCCTTGCTATTTTATTTGAATTTGTTAGTTCTAATGTGCAGTCTCAAAGGTGAAAATTTCAAGGCGAATTCATGTTACATTGTCCTGTCCACAGGTGAGAGGGCTGAGTAAGAAAAGGCATTGTCTCCCTCTAGTGCTCAATAGTAGCCCTATTATTCAGCCACAGAAAAAACACTTCAGTGGTCAATTTACTTTTACTGTAAGTTGTTGTGGTGCTGTTGTGATTTTAGGATAGATAGTGTGATTGTTGGCCCATGTGATCGGATTGGTGATTATAGATCGGTGCTAGGCAAAAGACAGTGCAGTAAAGTGTCATTTTTATTCACCACTTTTCAAAAACACATCACAAAGGGTTTTACACATTCACACTGAATGCAATAAAAAATAATGTTATAATTGTGAAGGATTTATTTTCCTTCATTAAGGGTAATGTCACACAGGTTTCCCCCAGGCCCAATAACATCTTCACACCACTATAGATAGTTGAATAATAATCTTTTATGGGCATATAGTGATTCTCTGTGGCCAGTCTCCTCCGTTGATCTTCATTAAACAAAGCTGTGTAAGACATGCTGAGTTACCTGAGACCTTCAATAAGAGTTGACTTGGCCACAAGAATTTCCATCGCATTAATAGCTCATGGTAATCAGGGTCCTCTTGCGGTGAGGCCAGCTGGGGATATGCTTCCACTAATACATAAGTGGACAACAAATATAGAAGAATTCAACAAAGAACTCCTAATTAGACAGATAAGTTACAAAATCTCCAAGTCATCGTTACAGTGTTACACTGTTATCTTTAAACATATTAAACAATTTCATTGAATTATGTATTTGGATTTTAAAGTTCAACTTCAAAACTGATAAATGCATTAAAAACTCTATTTAAAAATCTGGAAGCTAATGCAATTACACTATAGATCTGGTGAGTGTAATTTAAGTGTCTGCGATCACATAGCTACTGTTGTTAGTGGGTTCTTTAACTGAATAGATACTGTGGGTATATATCTTGATGATGTAATTGATACTTACACAAGACAAAGTATATTGGATTCAGTAGTGGGACCCCTAATTCTCTTTTGTGTATTATCTGTTGGCCCTTACAGGATGGAAGACCTGAAAACATGAATGGCATTCATTCCTGTTTTCTTAGGTTACTATGGTATATAATCTTTCATCACATAGCTCACAAAGCAGTGACACAAGGCAACTTTTACTAGTGACGCTTGAAGTTTATGTTGAAACACAACAAGCCTCATTTCATGTAAAAACAAGCAGTCTTGTACAAATAATGTCTCTGTGCTGTATCTAAAATAACCAATGAGCAGGCTGAATGGACTTTACTTGTGAGTTAACTTATCTTAGATTAATAGGTTAGGCGTTGCAACATATCACTATGGTTGCTCTTGGAGTGTTGGTTGGATTCATTCTTATAATCTTGTCTAATTTAAGAGTGGGAATACATCTCACAGCTTTCAGTTACAGTTTTTGTTTTAATGAAAAGGGTGAACACAAGTACAATAACAGTGATGGCAGTACAATAGAATAATGTGGAATACATAACAAACAGTGATATAAGCACGCTTAAGTGAGATTTTGAACCACACACAATGAATAAATCTGCATGTTTCTTAATAAACATCCCAAAAAATGTTTGGATACAACCACTATAGTTTTACAGAGATGAGGAAGTCCATGAAACCATGTCCATCCTTACCACGCTTTTTTTGGGTCTAACACAACCATTCAGCAGTGTGTTTTTCATGTTTACATATCAACAACTGACAAATCTCCTTGAGGGATAAAACAGCCATGCATATCCTTGTGGAGCTCAGTGTTCACGTTTGCTCGAGCAACTTCTTTGAATGTTCTGCCATCAAGAATCAGGATGAAATTAGACTGGCCTGGGTTGGTGTTGATGACTTGTGTTAAGGCCACGCCTGCAAATGGAAAGGCAGAGGTTATTGTGAGAGCGCAAAGCAGAATGTCAAAAATCTTATCGGACTTGCTTTCACTTGTCTAACAAACAATTCTACACCCCTTCAACTCACATTTTTAAGTTCAGATAACTCAACTTGAAGATTGCCTTTGTTTCAACTCATAAATTTAAGTTCATAAAGTGGATATAACTACAGTGTTCTAGTTGTCCCAATGTTAGTTAAATGAACAAGTTTGAGTTATTCTAACTCATAGTTTCAAGTTAAAGCAACTTAACCAAATTAATACTACTTTCCATTTCAAGTTAAGGGATTTAAATTCCAAATTTGTTTCAGTTTACATCTATAAAGGGCCTTGAAGACAGACCACAACAACAGCACCACTGTGCTATTATCTTCAATGACTTGTGACAGGGCAGGGCAGCTTGCTGGTGCGATTGTGCACGCTGCAGTCAAAGTTCAAAATAGCAGCAGATGTCACCTACTTTCTGAAAGGGCCTTAAGGCCGTTGTCTGGAACCCTTTCCACCGGTCGCACTAGTTTTGTTTACCACAGAAGTGTCTATATTTTGGTTGGAATTTGAATATATGACTTATCTGCAGTGTATAATTAGCAGGGGTGAGCAAGAACACCAAATTTTCTGTATCTGTACTCAGAATTGGTGGGGCTTAATCTATAAGTGGGTGGTATAAACTGGAAGTTATTTAAGCCTGAAATTTCTATCAGAACTTGCTATATTTATTAGAAAACCATTTACAGAACAGCCTCACAATTGAGCTTCAGAGAATAGTAATTGATTTTTTTATATTCATATATTTATAGTTTATAACAATACAGATATAGACACATTTTACTCTGATGATACTCATAGAAAGTATCTGTACCGGATACTCGTTTTAACTGAGTACTTGCTAAACCCTAATAATTAGTTGATTATGTATATGTTTTTCTCAAACTCAAAAGACGCAGCACCTAGGCAATCCTCATACTCTCGCCTTTTTTTTCAACTGATAACTTACATACGTAAGTTCAATCAACACGACAAAAGTGTCAAATAGTCAACACAATGAATTAATGCAAGTTTAACTTTCTAAAACTCATACAGAGTTCAAAATCCAAAACTTGTCAGAGCTATTTGAGTTCAAAAGAAGAAGTAAGTTGACATGACTAAATGGGTCTATGATTCTTTTGTGCACACCACCCGGTTTTCTCACCATCGTCCTCCGACTCTCCATTTGGTCTGGGGATGAAGATGGGCTCTGACGGCCAGCAGTTGTCCTCACTCCAGTAAATCCTTTCCTTGGTTTCTGTGTCAAACTTTGTAATCTACAGTGAATGTATAGATTAGAACAAACTAGTAAAACTAGCACTCTTGAGTTCCTCATACTGTATCTGATTGCTTATACTGTCAGAAACACTGGGATCAGCAATTATTCACAAAATAGAAGAATATAGAATAGAACCCAAGGAGCTTATCTTGCAGGCATTAACTGCCAGTGCAGTACTTTGTCCCAACTGCAAGCCATATACTTGGAAAAGAGCTGTAAAGTTATAAAAGTTGACCATCTTAGTACAGCCAGTAGGGTAAAGCATCTTTGCTTAATTCAATCAGCAAATAACAACAGTTGTACTTTTTCAGCACATTTCAGTCATATTAGTGTTCCTCATTGTTGATGTAAAAGGGGGAAGCATAATACATAGTCATCTGTTAAATTCATTCAAGAAAAGAGGGTATTTTCACAAGACTATTGTGCATGTTAGCATGACCAGACTATAGAGCAGCTTCATCCCCCCCATCCTCAGCATTCCACCACACAATATAGTTTATTTCTATATATAATTGTATCATTTTTGTATATGTTTGCTCTGTGAGAAGCATAAAAGGAACTATTATCTACACATACTGCAGATATCTCATTATATAACCCTGTTGTAAAATGACAAATAAATTAACCTTGTACCTTGTATGTATGAAAGACAATATTATTAGTTCTAGCGAATGTTTTTGGGGCGCTAAATAAGGCAAAGGAATCACCTCAACCATGAACTTCTTAATTTATCTATTTTTTTAAAATATATTTACACATGTTCCAGGTCTGAAGAAAATGTACAAGGCCTTGTTTTCCTCAAAGGAAGCTCACGATGTTCATAAAATGTTTCCTTTTGTTCATCCTTCTTTTTATTCATATCCAAACACCAGTCAAATTCAAAGAAAACCCAAAGCTCTTCTCTGTTGTTGAGACTATGTGTCAAATGGGAATAAATAAACATATCAAAACTGTTTAAACCAAGATGTTTCCTTTCTTACCTTCCTCTTTGCAGACAATGTACATCTGGACTGTGTGTATGCAGTGAGACGCAAGGGAAACTCTTTCAGAATAAAGCTTTGTTTCTCAAGACCGTAAAGCCTCACCGAGTTTATTGCTTCTTTCCATTGTTTCTGGCAGTGGCTCCTTGATGTACAAGTGTACCCAACGGAAAGGGCATGTGGGTATTATGGTATAAATCTGTAATTCACACTTCAACAAAGTGTTTCCTGCCTTCTGCTGTGCTGACTGATAATTCTCAGTTCTGAAATTTGCTTCCTACCTAAAAACAATGTGGCCAGGAACAAATTATTTCCCAATAGCCTTGCATTTAAAATCTCTGTTCTTCAAGAGTCTGCAAGTTTGCGTCTGTCTTGGCAAATAACGCTTGTAGGAAATGAAGAAGACGGATGTTCCCACCAGCTCTGTTTTGCAAAAGCCAAACAAAATGTTACCTTTAATGACAGTGCAGACTCCTCCACGCAGTTCCCGTAGACAAACCGGTGCCTCTTGCCATTGATGTCATAATTGATTCTGGGTAATTCAAAACCTGATGGAAATATATATATGTATATATATATATATATATATATATATATATATATATATATATATATTTATTTTTCTTTACCAACAAATCAATTACTCTTAAAGACACAATACACAATCAATGATTACTTGATTTTACCTTCACAGAGCACCTCTGCCTGGCACAGTAGTTTGCCTTCTTTCTCCTTCACAGCACTGGCTGTCGTATATTTGACTGTCACTATGTCCTCTCCAACCGCAATACCCTGCAAAATCCAGTTAACAGTAAAAATAAAGTGTCAAAGGAACCTCTTGTCTAAATTTCAGGATTAAATCAATTCCACATTTTTTAAAAGCCCACCTTGTCTGAGTGGACGGGAAGTGCAAATCTTCTGTAGCTTGGTTTGGAGTAGGTAACGTCATAGAGCTTGTCGTTTTCCTTCAGCTTGCTGAGGTAGAACGCATCATAAAGGCTGTTATCATTGTAGGCGATGACATCAAAGATCACATGACCGTTGTCCTCGAAA